CTTTAAATACTTTATACCGTTGGTCTGACGCCACAGATGCTGTTTTTTAAAGCCTCTCTCCTTGTTTCAAAAAGAAAATAAAACATAAATCTATCTATAATCTATATTTTTTTTATCTCTTCACAGCGGCACAAGGTGAAGAAAGGGAGTGTGCCTTCTCGGACCAGCAGCATCGGGAGGTGGAGCGAGTGGCTGGGGGTGAAGGCCAGGTCTCCCCAGAGAACACCACCATTCGATGCGCCAAGGGMAGCCACTGTTTCGGCCTGTGGGAGAAAAGTCCTCCAGGCGAAGTGCGGCTGGTCAAACAAGGTCTTTTACCTGCTATATATTTTGAAGAATAGCTTAAAGTGCAGAGAGATGGTACCAGTGTTTTAAAGCAGTTATTTTATAATCCAGGAAGTAGTCCTTTGCTGTTGTATACGGTCAGACTTTAAGTGGTTCCATSTGATACAGTTCATTGTTTTGGACTTAGAAAAGTGTGTTTTCTTGRGTCAGGTTGCTGGAGTCACCTGGGTGATAACCAGGCCTGCCGTGACGACCGCTGCGTGGTGACCAACCTGCCCCCGCAGATCCAGAATGGAACGTTCCACTTCTGCTGCTGCGGCAGAGACATGTGCAACYTCAACTTCACCGACGACTTCCCGTCGCCAAGCCCCACCACTGCACAGCCTATAAGTAAGAACATCCAGTAGCTGTTCATTACAATGTGATCTCTGTTACTGTCACATGTTGGCCTTAACTTATTATTTCTCTGTTCTACTAAGAGTTCTAGTTTGTGACACGTGAAAACTCATAATAACTTAAAATGTGATCATGTTTATTACATTTTTCACTTAAGCACGCCATTTTTTTTCACTGATGCATTTCATTCTAGGAGTGATGAAGATATAGACTAAAACTGTATCTAGGCTTGAAAGCTATGATTTGTGATAATATATACAGTATGTATATATATTTATAACATTTATATTAATATATGCTATATTAGCTGTAGAGCTAACGTTTTACTCATTAGCTATTGAACTAAAGCCATTTCTATTTGCTCAGGAGCTAATGCTATTTTTATTAACTCTGGAGATATTGTCATATATATATTTTAGCTGGGGAGCTAATGACATATGTATATGTATATGTATATATATGTATATGTATATGTATATGTATATGTATATATATATATGTGTGTATATATGTATATATGTGTGTGTATATGTGTATATATGTATATACAGTATATATGTATGTATATAAGTAATAAGAGCTAACACCATATTATATTAGCTCGGTACCTAATGATATGTTAATTAGCTCTGAAGCTAACTACACAGTAACTTTGGAGCTAGCTCAAGATCTAAGGCTATAAAAGGCTAAGGCTGAGGGCGTCAATAGGAGACAAAAGTAATTCTGCCTCCAGCACTTCATGTATTACACTGCAGTTACAAATGAACATTTATCTGGGTAAATAATATGATTCGTCAACATTAAAATACTGCGTCGACTTAATTTTATAATCAGTGTCGTCGATTAGGTCTATTAATCGTTGCAGCCCTACTAAACTCTCAAGAAATTGGACGCAGACAGCTATAACTCGTTTTTGTTTTTGATGAAGTCATTTGATTGTTGTTTGTGATGCGGGTTTATATATTTGGCGGCTGGTTCAGATTGTAATCCAGTGCCGGGGAGTGAGAGTGCCTAATGGTGAATCCAGTTTGTAGCTCCGCCCACCCCCTGTGCTTTTTTTCAAAGAATTATTGAGCTGTCAAACAGCACTGACACACGTATTGTTAACTGTTCCTTTTAGTGTGAATGGAAGCAGCGTGTGTGGCGGGGGGACAGCTCATTACCTGCCCTGCTCTCTCACAGACACAAGCTCTGAGCCTTCCATGTTGTCCCGCTGCATTCCACAGATTACACAGCGTCTGCAGACATGTCTGCGACTGTTCGCCTGCATCATCAGATAACAGGTTAAACCAGGTCTGAGGCTAAACATGAGGGGTTTTTTGTACGTTGGTTGTATTTTTTTTTTTAAATTAAAATGTAGCTGAAMCTTCTTCACAACATAAAGGAGAAGGAGTGAGGGCCGTGGCAACATAAAACACAATTCAAACTCTGTACCGATTACATTTTCCCCCTGCATGCTGCAGAGTACACACTTTGTTTATTTACTCCTACATTCCCAGCAATCTTTTCTGTTCCTGAGTCGGGTTTGATGTAAACACATTTTTTCTGTTTTGTTATAAATATTGACAGCTAGGACCAAGTCAGTTAGAATGTATGACAGAGAATTAGGGCCACGCTACAACCTTTTTTATTTATTTTTTATTAGAAGATTAAAGTTGTGATATTTAGAGAATAAATTCATAGAGCGTGATTAAAGTCATAATATTAAGGGAACTACATGAAAAAGCAGTCRTCCCACTGCGTTAAAAAGAGGCATGTTGAGCATCTTGTGATATTATATTTTGATTTAAAGAAATACTTAAACACATCAGCATCAAATTATCAGTAGCAGGACTTTGAAACTATTCAGTTAATGGCTGCACTGATGGATTTAGTCGTCACATAATGTGGATGGAACCATATTACAGTAACAGTGACCCAGAGCTGATGGTGGAACATTTTGTAAACACACCGACACGTGTTGGAGGCTGTCCACAGCAGGTGTGAGGGGAAAATCAGGAATGGAAAATAGACGTGTCATGTTATTCTTGTAATYCTATAATTATTTTCTTGTAATTAATTAAAAAATATACTCTTGTAGGGCCCTAATGCTTGTTAGAATCCATCTGAGGTGCGAATGTAAAGAGAAACAGCTCTCCATTAATTGTGTAATAAATTTTTCTATAAGCAGATCATCTTCCTCMTTAACTTTGAAAACCATTAGCAGACCAGTTAGCTTCCAKTAAATGAGGTTTTGCCWACTTTAAGTCAGCTAACAGCTAAKAAACAAGCTCTAACAAMAGGTTTGTGTCGGTCCCACCAGCCTGCAGCTGGAAGGAAATGAAGATGTGTGAAAGTCGCAGTAGCGGCCATCTTGAATTAGAACATTTTGTAAAAGTCATTGTTCCAGGATCATAAGGCTCAAACACCTCATACCAACTGTGAYGCACGGCGGTGGAGGGCTGATGGTTTGAGTTCATTGCAGTCATGAACTCCTCTGTAGACCAAAGGAGGCCAACAGCAGCTGAAGATTGAACCAGGCTCAAAAAGGAAGTAGTCTTGGTGGACAGGATCAGTTTTTATACACTCTGATACATAAAACCCTAGAATATTTTCTCTCTGTGACTTTGTGTTTGTTTTGATTATGGTCTAAAGTCTCGTTGGCYTTTGAAGAAGAACCTTATTAGCTCCTATAGGCGTAATGCCAGGTTGTCYATCAGAGCAGCCCTCGGGCTCCTAAAGACTTCAATAATTAATGAAACTGATTTCTCCTGGCAGCACAGACGTGTTGACAGATGGAAACAGATGCCGTCTGTTTCTAACCCTTCCTACTTTTCCAGTTCATTTCCTTTTGCTCTGTTAATCTTCTACACATATTGTATCCTTCCACTGTCCAGCCTGTTGACCATAGTTTAGGGTTGCTACTCTTGAAATACGTATCATATCTATAACTATATCATCCTGCTGAGTCTGAGAAGAGAAAACTACGGTAGTTTTAACCACTGCAGACTGGAAACAGCCCAGAGCTGGACCTGTCTGTCCAATCTTCACAATTTGACTGTTGTCACAGTCGCTCAATTCCTACATCAAGTTCTCCTAGTTTTTTGTTTTTTCTGCTTCAAACACAACATAAAGGACAGAATGTTCACTCGTCACATTACATAAACTCAGCATCTTACATTCAGACTGAGCTGGAGGACCAAGGCCTTCGCTAACATTCAGACCGTGAAGCTTTTTTCTTTGTCTTTGATATGGAAACATTTTCATTGCAACTATTTACTRCCTAATAACCAGCAAATTTCTATAAAGAAAGAATCTAAAGCTCATTGTGCATGTTGGAGAAGTGTAACAGAAGAACATTTGTTTACGTGTGTATTAATCATGACAGAGAGGAGAATGTAGAAATGACTCAGGKTGYAACTAAAGTAATGATGGAGACAACAGAGCTGCTGCATGGAAGGAGAACCTCAGCTGGCCAATATGGCGGTATTAATCTGCTTTATTTTCTCCTGGTRCTTATTTCAAATGGTTAAAACCAAACCATACCACCCTGAACACAACAGATCTCATCTGAGCTTTGAAGCTAAGCAGGGTCAGGCCTGGTTAGTACCTGGATGGGAGACCACCTGGGAACACCAGGTGCGGTGCTGTAAAACCAATGTAGGAGCTGCACCCACATTGGAAAAACTAGCAAGAGAAAACCTTTGACCATATTAGGTCATAGGTCACCTTCTGAAGGATGCCAAAAAAAAAAAAACAATTAAAACCTAATCAATAATTGATTTCCACTGAAACACTTATAAAACATTTTTCAGCCATATCACCCAGCTCTACTTAAACACACATTAGCACCTGAGCTAATATTTATATATTGTATGACATGGCATTAGCTCAAGAGCCAGTAAATATATCATCAGTTCCAGAGATAATATATAAATATATATAGTGTTAGCTACTGAGCTAATATACAGTATCTCTAAATAGTGAGTACACCTGTCACTTTTGTTACCATAGGTTTAGACATTAATGTCCGTATGTTCAGTTATTTTGAGGGAACAACACATTTACAGTTTTACAATCTGTACTCTGACTACTTTACATTGTAAATAAGTGTCATTTCTTCAGTGTTATATGGCATTGACTCCATTAAAGGCACAGTGTGTAGGATTTGTTGTTTTCAGCGACATCTAGTGGTTGAGTGGTTGAATCATCCTCCCTGGTCCTCCCC